ATGGCTAAGCCATCGAAAGCTGCTCTTGAAATAAATACTATTGTTGGCAATGACAACGTTTCTAATTATTTCACAGTTTTAGAACCAATAGTACATAATTCCTAACTAAAATTTAATTATATTGTAATCACTAAGTATTCCAACGGAAGTTATGAGAAAGTATAACATTTATATCAAAACAACAATTTGTACAGCAATTAAAAAAGAATTTGTATCTAGAGGTCTACACAAATTATTGTTGTATCAACCAGAAAGTCTACGAATCCGTGAGTAGAATGAGGTACTGTATGAAATCACATTGAAAATACAATTATGAAGTAAAGCAGAGATCACCAAACTGATGAGCTACAAGTAGCATCAATGTGCACCCTTTACATTTTTCATGAGTATCAGCTATTTGTTAATGTGGGTAGTTTGTTATGAAGCTTTTTTTGTAAAGGGCAGTTCAAGCAAAAAACAAAAAACTTACGAATGCCATTTGAAATACGAAACCAATTATATTTTTACTCAGTTAAAGAACAAATGTGTGTTCACTGTAATTAGAAGTGTATGAAATGAGAAGAAAGAAATGTTAATTTGAGGCAAAAAACAAAAGTAAGATATGAAAAAAAGGTATCATTTCTGTCCTGGTTACTTTTGGTAGCTTACAGTAGGTAGGTTAGTATTGTTGCTCAGAAGCTTGATAAGTTTGTCCATCACTGAAGTAAAGCCTAACCAAGGATTGCACCTAGTACTTCACAATTAGTATATTCTGTTAATTCTTTTCTACAACATACAGGCAATAATTATAAGTACTATATGACTCAAATGCACTTGATTGTAAGTTCAGCAAATGTCATTATTAGTTATGATCTAACACTAGATGTGCCAGCATATTTCAAACACATGTACTCTCTCAAAGCATTGGACATAATTGGAAAAACGCAGACTAAAATCATGGAGGTTTACATCAATACTTGTTTAATGAGAGTGTTGCATACTGTCAGCATCATCTCTGTTCTAATAAAATCTTTACTGTGCCTTTTGAGAAATCCCAACAATATCAATTCAATATTTAGTCAACCTGCGAATGAAATGAGTTTACAAACAAAATAAACCTCCAGGTTTTTCATTAGGTGAACATCCACTATGTTATAGCCATGGACTATAATAAAAAATTATTGGGTTTTGGATTTATGACAATTTATTTCTTACATTTATCAACGTTCAGAAACTTGAGATTACTGGAGAACCACAGTGCTACATTATTGTGATCATAATTAGGTTTCACTTTGCTCAATTGAGCCGCAATTACCTCTCAATGATCTAACTCATGTTTAATTTACTTTCAACAAACACATTTTAGGAATTACATTTTAAAATATAATCAAATTAACATGAGAAATAGATAATAAAAACAAATTATTAAAATATAAGCATCAAGTACAGTGGACATTCGCTGAAACTAAAGCAAGACTACTTTACATCTTGCATTTCTCTACACCACACTAGCTTTCTAAATGAAGAGGCAGCTTCCCAGGGGAGGGAAGGGAGGAACATACTCCTCACTATACTGCGATTTTCGCAACTCTCTCCAGGCAGATATCAGCTGTTGAGTTTCATCCAATCGGGAGTTTGAACGTCACCATAGTAACGTTCAGGCTCCCGATTGGATGAAAGCTCTACAGCTGATACCTGTCAGCGACAGAGTTGCATAAATCGCAGTATACATTCATCTGTATCTAATTATTAGGAAAATGATTTTCATGTAATTACACGTTTTACAGGAACAGTATGCCTGGATTAACTTTACTGTCCGGGAGGCGCCACGACCTAGGCAGCCAACGTTTCAGCCACCATTCTGCGACCTTCCTCGGGGCGAAATGCGCACGAGTTTATATATAGCGGGATTCCCCACCACCAACCGATTGGTCGGGCGATCGGCCTATTAGGCAACGCCGCAACTCCCTCCCGAGCGGAGTGCGAGAAAGCGCTCCACGCGTGGTCGAACGTCATGGAACACCGGGGACTGTGGCCTGACGCGACCACGCGTCTTGGTAAAATACACGTTTCCAGGCCCAGTGGAGGCCCTGGTTGACTTTGACGTTTTGGGGATGTTTGAGAATTTTCACATACTCTTTCACTCTCCTCGGTCCCCAGCGGTCTCCCATGGCTAGAAGGTGGGAGGGCTACGGCCGATTTATTAGTATTACTGTACTTGTAATGACGAATGTGTTCACGGAGGCGTTCCTCAACGGTTTCGTCTCGTCTCGCCAATGAAGCTATGGCCGCACCTGCTTGAGATCTCTTATATCCCTGATGACATGTAGCACGCGATCTTTAATGCGTACCAGCTTTTGCCCGTATTTTTCATGGGCTTTGTAAGTCACATGTACGTCGAAGTGGCTCAAAAGCTTGCCAATGTTGCCTGTAACCCCTTGTATATGGGTATATGGGGTAGAAATGTCATCTTGCAACTGACATCGTCGCTAGGAGCAGTGGAAGAGGTGCTGCCTGGCGTTCAGCTACGTTGGAAGCGTTAGCGCTGTATCCATAGGCTCAAAATGTTCCCTTGAGCTTCATTTTACAGTTTAATGATATCCCAACACACACTCTGATGGCTGATGGGGGGTTCTCAAAACCCTCCGATTAGTTGCTGGGTGATGGAGACAGCCGGCGTGCTGGTTGATATGTGTCTGTTCACTGACGACACAACGCCCTGGACTGCCGTTAGCTTTCCGACTCCTCAGCATGTCGAGGAAAGGCAATTTACCCTCATTTTCCAGATCCATAGAGAATTATCCTTATTGTTTAGGGGTTAGGTGCGGGGTTTTCCCTCAACCAGGTATCTCCCACCAGCGGGACACCGCCCCTACCGGAACAAGCTCTCTCTCAAACGGTCTCCAGCATGTGTGGTAGTGAAGAAGAACATGATTGTGTAAGGGGATGAGGAAGGAAAGATCGCGCGCGGTTGGCCAGATGGCCCGTTTGTTAGGGTACTGCTCCGACAATCGAGTCGTGTTGATTAGAGAAACCACGGAAAACTTGCCAACAGGGCATCGGGCCACTAGATTTCTCCTCCAGACAGCGGCTGAATTTAACCTAGCTGACAAGCTGATATCGAAAATCCTGCCAACGTCAGGACTCGAACCAAGAACCTCCCAGTCAGAGGCACTGCAGTGGCATCAGTTGATGCCCTGAGTCACCTCTCTCGGCCCACATTACTAGAGTGGTCTCTGGCCCGAGGGGTTAGAAGCCACCTGAGGAACAGACACATCGAGTAATACTCAGGGCACATAAAAACTTTAATTTTACTTGTTTGCTATAGGATTAAATTATTAAATTTATCTTGAATGAAAATACGTAAGATGCATCATAATTGTCAATATGCTATCAGATAGAGCGTGAACCTAATTACAATTAGTCTCTCTTTCAAAACAGGCGTGTACAATATAGTGAATCACCTCAGTCCAAAGTCGGTGAGGTTTCAGTGGGTGAGGTTCAAGTCTGGAAAATTGAAGTAAGGAGAGGTGTACTGTAGAAATGTTTAAGTTAGAGAAGTCCAAAAGAGAGAAGTCAGAAGAGTCCAAGTTAGAGAGTTTCAAGTTACAGAGGTTCAAGTTACACAGGTTTGACATAGTGGGGTTCAGGTCACAGGATTGTGACCCGAAGTTAAGTTTTTTATTTGTCCTTTGCAATATATTTACTGTTTTGTATTTTTTAAGATTAATGAATTAAATGCATAAAAACATTGTTATTTGTTGGCTTGAAAGCAGGTGTATGGAATACAAAAATTTCATGTGGGTAAAGTACAAGAACATTAAGTATACAATAGTATTTTTCACTTTAGGCCTATAAAAATACAGTAATTAACAAGTAAATCATAAAAAATAAATTACTTGTATATTAGGCATAATTTTTTTTAAGATAGTTCTCAATAGATGAATTATTATTTTGAAATGTATTGCACTATGTAACAGTAAAATATTAATTTTGTGTGGGTGTTGCAGTCACATTGCAGGACTATGTTAGGATTTCCTGAGCTACTGGTATAGGATTACCACTTTGATGATACACTTGTGTTGTTCTTTTCTGTGGATAAAGATAATATCACCCTTTGAATGGAAGATGAGATTCACACTTCCGTTTGTTTCCTACCTATAATTAACTTTAATGACATTTACAAATGTTTGCACCAAGTAAAACATTCATATTTCTTAGTTTATATTAATCACATTTTATCAGTTTTATAAGCTCCTTACATTTATTTATACAAAATTGCATTCACTCTTCTTCTCACTCTAATCAGCATTAATACAGATGACGTCTAGCATTAATAATGTTACAAACTTTCAATGCCTGTCTTAATGTTTAACAATACCCGTCTTAAAATAGAATATTGTCTGAGGTAGGAGACAGTGGGGAGAAGGTTTTTGATGCCAGCCGTTTCCAACTTATCGTGAAAACTAATAATCCAAGAGATAAATTACATTCTAGAGGGACATAAAACACAAATTTATTAATGTTTCTTAACAATGATCACATTACTCAACAATTTTTTGTATACTTGGAAGCGAATAAAGAAGTGACCAAGCGTTTATATTGCATTGTCCTCACGAGAGTTAAAGCACAGATCCAGTGAAACGCCAGAAGACACGCGAATTAGTTTCAATCACCATCTCACAAACATGTCATATTCAGAATGTTAATGAAACAAATACAGTCAGTAAAAGCTCCAGGCGAACCGTGAATGTCTCAGGAGACAATCAAAGAAAGAGAATTGTATTTATGGAAGAATTGAAACAGAAAGATTTTCAAACCCATCAAAGAATAAACCTACAAAAGAGATAGGAAGTAGTGGCACCAGTCCAGCCAAGGGAATTGGGTTCTCCCCCCCACCTTTGAATTTTTTTTTTTTTTTCCAGTCTTCTCTTCCACTGAAAGGCCAAAAAGTTATTTGTGAGACTTTTAATGTACTCTTCATTCATCGGACTCTTTCCCTATTGGAATACTCTCCCCCTTTCAGGGCATCCTTTAATGTATTTCAAAATTTCGACTAAAATTTCACTTTTAACTACTTATTAACAATTGATTACAGTATCTCTAATTCAACTGTTAATGGTTAAATCATTTGTTTTAAGTAAGTGTAATAATTTAAAATATCCCTGCTTTAATTATTTCTTTGCTTTTCAGAAACTGTTAAGCAGTGACCAGAAAGAGATAAAGTGAAAGTGTAAGCTTCCGCACCTGGAGTCAATAAAAACTTGGTTGTTCATGAGACGCCACATCCTAGGAAAGTATGCCTAGCATGCAGTCTTCCGGACAGCCAAGTTTCTATTCAAAAGGATAGTTTCACCACTGACCAAAAAAAAAAAAGGCACAATAACATTGGAGGAATAACCACTAGATGAAGTTTATATTCATTTGGCAAATGCAACTCGAATTGCATGAATTTTTTAAAATTAATTAAATTAAAAAAATGTAATGTAATTCTTATAACTTAATATTTGTAAGAAATAATAAATCCAATTCTCGTTAGGATAGAGTTCTTGTTTGACTCTTTACTCTGCATACAGGCATAAATATATATTAAACACATTACCGTATTAAAAATAATTTTACTGGCAGACTGAGTAAGGGGTCGATTAAAATAATGGAATTATAAAAATGCAATTTCAAAGGAAGCTCTACTAGAGAACCATCAATGTGGGAAATAAGATTGACAGAAAAAAATGCCATAATAATACTCACCAAATTCAATAAAACTGTATGGCCTAGAAACTGTTCCAACTCTTTTTCCATACTGAGAATGAAACTCTTGAGCAAGGTCTTCCAAATAAGAGAAAGCCAATCGTTTGGAATAATTACGTTCTGCTAAAACTAGGTAGCACACTTCATTTTCAATCAGATAACTGTATGGAAAGGCAAATAATATTATCATGGTGTAGTGACAACAACTCGAAGAAAATATTAAACAGAAGTGAATGTCAGTACTTACTGAAATAAGTAAGGTCCAGTTTCTATACTACATCTTGTGGGACTCTGGTTGTTTAATTTCCGAAATAAAAGTTTGGCTTGATTTTGATACTCAAGAATACTTTTTCCTGACTAAAATAAATACACACGATTAAACTTGATTTTATGTCCTGATAGTTATTGACACCCTTATTATTCAGAAAATTTAAAATGTACCTGTTCATCTTCTTGCATAGTTGCTGCCAAAGGTAGCCCATCTGCTATCCTTGCGATCATCGTCAACAGCACCATCGTGGATGATTCCTATTACACTTAACAGTCTTGATGAGTACAAATCACGTCAAAATTACAAAACACCATTTACAACATGAGTAACACAAATACGGCGCATGACTATCACAAACTCATCAATGTCACTTCTGCCCACTTCACCCACACCAAGTCACCAACACCACTCTGGCTACTTACACGTCATCCCACAAAGTACTCGTATTTCAAGCAGCGTGCGCCAGTTGGCGCTCGCCGTAACATGTTATGCATTTTCTTTGGTACTGTTTCAGAAAAATTGAAATTCTTTGAATTTACTAATATGTGTTCAGCAGGAAATAGCCGATTTTCAGTAAACCCCAAAAGCTATCGAGAAACGCCAAAGTTTTAAAAGTTTCCAGGAACTCCTATAAAAACAGCATTGAAGAAAGATTTTTTTTCGCTCTTATCCCTTACCGTGCTACACGTGAAAGAATCACTTCCGTGAGAGCACGGCGTCACGTCAGTTTTAGAGCACAGCACCGTCGACTATGGGTGGCAACAATACATAGTAATATGTATTGTTAGTAGGTATTGGTGGCAAGCGGCAGACTGCTAGAAGCAGTGAGTTTATAGATAACACGTGTTAATTTTCTTTTAGAACGTCGTAATCATTCTTCGTTAAAGGTTTTCCTCTGCCTACTGCCTCTATTTAAAAGCGTTTTATGTGTTGTTTAGGTACACTTTCTCGCACTGAAATGTTATTTTTTCTCTAAAATAAACTTGAATTTTCACAAAGTGTCGTTAAGTACAGGCCTGCAAACCCGCGGAAAAAGGGGGCATATTTTTATTATTTGAGTTACTAACACTACTTGTATTTGCTACACACTTTTAAAGGAGGGCCCGGTTACAAGTTATGCGGGCAGGTCCGCACTCACTTTGTTACGCTACTATTTTCAAGATACACAAGTTGTGTCCTATAATGGACTGGGGCAAAAGGAACCAGGAGAGACAGTAAGCCTTTTTAGATGCCCTATTGATTCCAAAAATCAGGAATGTAAAATTATAGCACTCTGGGAACAAAGGGGACAAAATTTGATTTCTGCTTTGAGGCAATAAATGTTAAATGGTTATTTTTAAGTCAACAGTAGGTACCTAGGTTACAGGTTCCGCCAATC